GGGCGGGACGCGCGTGGAGAGCCGAACAGGGAGGCCTCGGCCGGTCCCCAGGTGCAGACCGGGCCACCACCGATTGCCAGGACCGGTCGCAAGTTCCGAAGCCTCCTTTGGTTCTGCACTCCCTACTCCTTATTTTCCTCCCGGACTGGGGATCCAACCCAGGTCTCGGCACTGAGCTACACTCCCCTCCCAGCCCTTTTTCCTTTTATTTTTTTAGACAACGTCTTGCTAAGTCACTGAGTTGCCCAGGGTAGGCTTAGAGTTTCGATTCTCTGACTCAGCTTCCCAGAGTGCTGGGATTATAGGTATACGCTACCACCCCCAGCTTCTCTCCTTACTCATCTCCTTGCCTTAATTTTTCTGTTTGAACCAGTAACCTAAGGGGCATGGTGGCACACAGTTGTAATCCCATTACTGGGGAGGCTGAGGCAGGAGCCTCAGGTTCAAGCCCAGACTGGGCAAATCAATAAGACCCTGTCTCAAAATGTTAAAAAGTTTAAAAAGGGGACCAGGGTTGTAGCTTGGTGCAAAGGCCCTGGGTTCAACCCCTAGTTTAATTTTCAAAAAGTTTTACCTGACCTGACATTATGAGTTTGTTGCTAGTTGATGCCCACCTTCCTCAGAGCATGCATTGTGGGAGGGTGGGGTGTATTTTTGTCTTGTTCACTTCTCTCTGAGAGCCTAGCACACAGTAGGTCCACAGGGAATCTGGAGAGAGGGTGCTCAGCAGCTCATCAGCCAGCCCTGTTCACCCTGGTTTGCTGGCAGCAAAGGTGTCTGTTTCTATTATTCACTGAACATTCATGAGATTTCCTCAGAGGGCAGAGAGCTACTGGTGATGAAACTGAGGCTGGAGCCCCAGCCCCACCCGGTGTTACTCACAGCTTTCCGGAAGACAGAAGTCTCGTTATCCTGAAGCCATAGGATGAAATGGCCCCTAACAAATAATAAGAACACCAGGCGGGCATGGTGAAGCACCTGTTACCCGGCACTCTGGAAGGCTGAGGCAGGAGAGTCAAAAGCTCAAGCCCAGCCCGGGCAACTTAGTGACTTAGTGAGACCCTGTCTCAGAATAAATAAAAAGGGCTGGGGGTGCAGCTCAGTGCAGAGGCCCTGGGTTCCATCCCCAGGACTGAGAGGAGGAGGAGGAGGAGGAGGAGGAGAAAGAGGAGGAGGATGGAAGAAACTCGGTGTTCCCTCCCCAGCATCTCCTGCCCCTCAGCCACCTTCCAGGAGGAGGAATCAGGAGGTGCTGAATCCAGACCCCGGCTCAGCTGCCAGAGCACTGTGCTCCTGCCAGTGCTGGCTACCAGGACCCATGAGGGGACATCGCACCCCACAAGTCCACTCTACACATGAGGTCAGCCTGGAGCTCCTGGCTGGAGATGCTCAGGGGCACCTCACCACCAGATGCTGGAGGCAGGGCTGTCCTGGGAAGCTTCCCAAGGAAACACAGGAGCCTCCAGCCAGCAGACCACAGCAAGACTGACATTCCCTTCCTCCTCCTAGATTGGCCTGCCTCATCCTCCCTGCCTCATCCTCCCACTTACATAGTAAGTGCTCAGTAAACAAAAGTGAGCTGGTTTTGCATGTCCTGCTCTGGGACCTAGGGTGGGAGGACCAAAACACCTGGTCTCCAGGAGCCCTGGGGATGGGAGGAAGGCAGGTGCTTGGCTGGGGGTCTTGCAGAATCCACCAAGCGGGAACAGCCAACCCTTGGCACTCCTGGAAGTTACCTGCGCATGCCCCCCATCCTCCCAGCACTTTGTTTTGGTTTGGTTTGGGGTTTTTTTCTGAGGCAGGGTCCCGTTACATACTGCAGACTGGCTGTGGACTCACTATGTAGCTGAGGCTGGCCTGGAACTCGAGGCCATCCTCCTGCCTCAGCTTCCTGAGAGCTGGGATTACAGGTGTGTGCCACAACGCCCTGCCTGTTCCTGTTTTATAGATGGCTTAACTGGAGGAGCAGTGACTGCCCCAGAATCCCAGCCAGGAGGCAACAGACCTGGATGGACGCGACTTTCCTCTGAAGCCAGCCCGTTGCCTCTCGCCTGCCCCCTGCTGGGGATGCGCCGCCCTCGGCCCGCCAGCGACCGAGCTCAGCTGGGGCCAGTCCGCGTCCAAGCTCAACTGGACGCTACTTCGGGCTCCGAGACCCTGGGCCTCCAACCCTACCCGCATAGGTGGAAAGAAAGGGAGCTGCTCCGGAAGTCCTGAGGGCAGAAGCCAGCGCCACCTTCG